TTCTAGTTCCTCCATTCCACTAAGTCCTGAACTCTTACATTCACCTATGAAGAGGATTGAGGACATGAAGAGGGAACCCCTGCTGCTTATTGGCATTGGCATTGTTGCATGGTCTGTGCTCCACCAACCACAAGATGGCGAAAGAGATTATCACATGGAGCCAGCCTGTCTTCATCCACCTCCTCCTCACCATTCTTATCCTAAAGAGAACATTTACTGAGCACTTACTGTGTGTCAGGCACTGTCCCAAGGGTGCAAATGCATATAGTCATTTAATCCTCACAATAATCCTATAAAATAGGTACTATTTGATATGTGAGGAAACCAAGGCACAGAGATATCCATGTGTCTAGTTCAGCTCTTAGCTATTTTCATCTTTTATCTATATCTATTTTCCATCTATCACCTATCTATATATTGCCATCTATATCTTTTAAGGCTTTTTAAATGTTCACAGCAAAAATATCCAAATAATAATGATCAGTAAAAATAAAAAGCCCCTCTCCTCCCTGCTTATCATCCCCGTGGAACTAGTATAACCACTGATAATTTTTTGTGTATTCTCTCATAAATTTTCTACAAATATGCAAGCAAGCACATTTCATACTGATATTTTACACACACACACACACACACACACACACACACACATATGAGACCATATTACACACTGTCCTACAGTGTGCTTTCCACATTCTACAATGTGCAATCCACTTTGGATTGCATCTTGCACATCAGATGTGGACTAGGGCCACTCTTCCTTGTGGGCCTCATTTTGAGGCCTTGGGTATGATACTGGCTGCACTCACCTATGTACCAGGGAGCAAGTAGTGTCATCTGGTGCACCGTGGGAGTGAAGGGAGAGGAAGTGAATGTGGGAGAGGAAAGTAGCTAAAAGGATGCAGGGGGTGGGGAGGCATGATGGAATGGAGGGTAAGTCAGCTGATGGTTTTCAGGTGGGGCTGGCCTTCCCCTCTGGCCCCCAGGCCTGGTCACACACAAAATTCAGATTTGGATGCGACCAACATTCACAGTGCCTTTAGGACAAGCCGAGCTCTTTACCTTGCACATTGCTATTTTTTCTCATTTTATCTCATTGAATCCCTGGGAGGTAGGAATTATCTGCATTTTACAGGAAACAAAGCTGAGACTCAAAGAGGATCACATCTACTTAAATGTAGACACACAACTTTTAAGAAGTAGATCCAAGAGCTTTTGATTCCCATCCAGGGTACTATCCACTACATTCCAGCAAAGGCCTCTGGGGACAGTACCTTGTACCCCACACAGTGGTCATGGAGTACAGGCTTTGCATCCCCTAGTACAGCCCTGATCTTCCTCATCCTTCCCTTGGTCCATGCAGGCTTCCCCCAGCACTGCAGGGATGAGGGCCCAGCGAGTGGCAAGTCCGAGAATGTTTCTGAGGCTGTGAAATGTCCCCTCAGTGGAGGGTCCTCAGGAGCGCAGGCAGAAGCCTTGACAAGCCATCCTTTTGGCAGCTTAGCCTGCCCCCAGCCCTGTCCCAGTCTCCCCTCCCACCCAGGTCCTGCTCTTCCCCAAAAGGATGAAGCTCCAGCTCCAATGCTGGGGCAGGCCTAGACCCCAGATCCAGAGGGCAGGGCTCCAAGGCCACTCGGCCTGAAGAGGCACATCCCTTCCCCATCTTATCAGTGCTCTGCAGAGTCCGGCCACTCCTTGCCTCCTCCTCAGGTTCCCAAGGCCATGGGTGGGTTGAGGGTTTGGCAGCTGCCTCCTGGCCCAGCAGAATCCAGCTCTTCTCTCCAAGGCCATACCTACAGCTGGCACCTCCCCTATAGCTGGGAGAGGGGCCTAAACCACAGGACATAGTCCTGAGACCCTTATGCCCTAGCAGAGTCCCAGGTCATCAGCAGGGGGGAGCAGAAGGGAAGTCTGTGGAACTGCCAGCGGGGAGGGCTCAGGTGCGAGTCCGAGGGGCCTCCTGGACCCCCGTGCCAAGGGACTGCTGGCACTGGGCAGCAGCACCACGGGGCCCATGAGGGGTGAGCCCAGAGCAAGTGGCTCAGGTCTTGAGCATGGCTGGGGGAGTCAGGCTGCAGTTGCTGGTCCCAGTGAGTGCAGCCCAGGGCAGGTGTCAGGACATGGGTCTAAAGGGAGAGTCTTCTATGAAGAGCCTGGTCCAAGTCCTGGAGGTGGCTGGCCATGATCTAGTGTACGCTGCCTGACTATACCCTAGGAAAGTTCTCCTTGGTCAGCTCTGGCCATCCCCCTCCACCTGGCCCCTTCTTCCAGAGAGGGGAAAGGACAGGCCTCTCAGGGTTAGCAGCAGGATTTGGTCATCAGGAATCAGGAGCCCTTAAGGAGGCAGGCCTGCTTCCCATACAGCTGATGGCTGCCCTGGTGCCTGCCTTTCCCTAGTCAGCTCTTGCTATAGTTCCTTGAAGCACCCCAGCGTCCTTCCAATAAATGCCTGCCCTTTGTGGCTTACAATGAAGCATCCAAGCTGGTTGTCTGCTATCATGATGCCCCTAGTTTAAAATGCCCTTTCCATCCATCTGGCACTTTCCCCACCTGCCCCCAGATTATGCATGTGGAAAATACATGGTGTCCAGGTTGTACCTGCACACCTACGGCAACTCCAGTACCTGGTGATGGACTGGGAGGGGTAATAGCCTGGAGGACAGCCCAGGAACCCTCCAGCAAGTCTGCTCCATATCCCCAGGATGAGAATCAGTGTTAACTTACCCTAAAAGCTAAGCAAATGCTTAGTTCACCAGCAGGGAAGAACCAACACACACCCCTTACTGTTTTTTGTCTGCTTATTCTGTTACCAACTTCTTGTATTCTGCCCATTTTTCCATTATACTTGGAAGCCATCAGGATCATATTTAAAATTGTTAAAATCTTCCCAATGAGCCTTTTCTACATGAAGTATCCCTTTTTATTTCTAGTAATTCTTATTTTAAAGCCTATTTTATCTATATTGGGCAGAATACCTTTTGACCACCTTTTCTTTCAACTTTTTCTGAATTTTTGTTTTAGATGTGTGTCTCTTATAAAGAGCTATTATCAGCTATCTATAATGCATAACAATAGCTAGAAAGTGTTCAAATGTTTGGAAGGAATACACTTCTAAGTAACCTAAAATTCAAAGAATGAGAATTAGAAAAATTTGAGTTGAACAAAAATACTACATAGAACTTGTGGGCTTAAGCTAAAGGCCTACTTAGTTATAAATTACAAATTAAAAAGGGGGTAGAAATTAATGACCGAAATATCTCAAGGAGTTAAGAGCAGCAAATTAAACACAAAGTAGAATACTAAAACTGAGAGCCAAAATTAACTATAAAACAAAATTAGGATAGCCAAAAGTTAATTCCAAAAAGACTAATAAAATTGGTAAATCTGAGATTGATCAATGAGACTGCAAAGACACAGTTCTATGAATGAAAACAGCAGCTTCACTGCAGATCCTGCAGGCATTAGAAGACAGATTACAAATTTTGTATAATAAAAATTTAGATAACATGGACAAAGTCTTAGAAAAATAACTTACTCAAACTAAACAAATAGAACATTGAGACAGTCCTATTACTATTAAAGGTACTGAACCAATTTAAAACCTCTGTACAAAAACTCCAGGCCCAGAAAGCTTCAATGGTAAATTCTATCAAACATTTAAGAAATAATTCTGTTAGACGAACTGTACCAGAGAACAGAAAAAGATAATATACATCCCAATTCATTTTATGAAGCCAGAATAACCTTGATACCAAGGCCTCACATGGAGAGTGCATAAAAAACTATAAGTCAATCTCATGAACAAAAATCCTAAACATTAGGAAAGGGAAACAGCAATACATAAAAGGACAATGTATCATGACTTAAATTGGGCTTACTCTATGAATGCCATTTTAAAAGATTAATAAGGCCGGGCGCTGTGGCTCACGCCTGTAATCCTAGCTCTTGGGAGGCCGAGGCGGGCGGATTGCTCAAGGTCAGGAGTTCAAAACCAGCCTGAGCAAGAGCGAGACCCCGTCTCTACTATAAATAGAAAGAAATTAGTCGGCCAACTGATATATATATATAAAAAATTAGCCGGGCATGGTGGCGCATGCCTGTAATCCCAGCTACTCGGGAGGCTGAGGCAGAAGGATCACTCAAGCCCAGGAGTTTGAGGTTGCTGTGAGCTAGGCTGACGCCACGGCACTCACTCTAGCCTGGACAACAAAGTGAGACTCTGTCTCAAAAAAAAAAAAAAAAAAAAAAAAAAAAAAAGATTAATAGAGAACTACCATATACTCAGTAGATGCAGACCAAGTATTTGATAAAATTGAACATATATTCATGTTAAGGACACTTAGTAAAACTAGGAATAAAAAAAATATTTTTTAATCTAATACAGGTTGAGTATCCTATATCCAAAATGTTTGGTACCAGAAGCGTTTCAGATTTGGGATTTTTTTCAGATGTTTGAATACTTGCATTATACTTATCAGTTCAACAGCTATAATTTGAAATCTGAAATGCTCCTTTGAGCAACACATTGGTTCTCAAAAAGTGTCAGATTCTCAAGCATTTCAGATTAGGAACACTCAACCTGCAGAAGGCATGATTTTAAAAACCCTATAGTATACATCATAGTGAAATGCTGAAAGTTTTCCTTTTGGGATCAGGAATATGACAAAGGTGTCTGCTATCATCATTTCTAATCAACATTGTACTGATGGGGTCTAGCCAGTGTCATAAGGTAAGAAGGAGAATTAAAAGTATAAAGATTAAAAAGAAACAAAATTGTCATTATTTGCATATAGTGCAATTGTATATGTAGAAAATTCAAAAGGATGTAAGGATACACTAGAATAATCAAGTTTAGCAAGGTTGCCAGACACAAAATCAATACACAAAAATATACAGCACTTCTATACACCAGTTCTAAACAGAATATGAAAAGTTTTTTAAGATATCATTTACATTAGTATCAACTTCCTAGGAATAGATTTAACAAAAGACATGTACGATTGCAGAGAAAACTGTAAAACTTTATTGAATAGAGAATTTAACAAGTCAAATTTTCAATGTAACAGCATGTGTAGCTTCGGTTTGTCTTCTTGTCAACTTAGGACTGTCCATTTTCTAAAATATAAACATAACAGACCAGAGTGAAAGCATTTGCCAAGAATGTTTTCATTAATCAGGAACAAAAGTCAAGAATTAAAAAAAAATTTAAGTAAAACATTAACGTAATAGTTGGGACCATCACTTAGCAGAACATTACTGAGATGATACAAAAAGCACACAAAGGACGCTAGTTTTGGTTTTTAAGATGAAACTAAAACCAGAGCCCTAACCACTCTATAGACTTCTATGCTAATGTACATTTTCAGGCATATGAACACTAATTTTTAAAATGCATCACTCTTTCTAGGGTGTATAAGGAAACAAAGACTTCTCAAACCCAGACCAGATTAAATTCTATGAGCCCATTTAAAGATAATTTTAAGTAGAGAGGAAAAACCAGTGATTTCAGTTTAAAAACAAAAAAAAACTTCAAGCAGCAAAACAAATAAGCAAATACAATCATTCAAATGTATTGACTTGAAACACTGTACAAATTATATATTAGCTAAAATAATTATGTCATACTTGGAATTGCTTAACTAAAAAGGTCAAAGAACAGCATGTCATTTGGTTTGTCTCTGTTATGCAAAAACAATTCACTGATCTAGTTCAACCATTATGTGGTCTATTTACAGCAGGGTGGCCATTCAACCCATTGGCACCTGTTGTCCTGGCATAAGTATTCATAGCACTCTCTTTCACTCTCAGAAGTGTCATGGATTAGGTGATAAACATACAGATCCATCTTATTTTTTGGTGTGTAAAAGTGATTTTGATAAACAATTCTGGCAAATTAAAGAAACAATAACATTGTATTGTTCAGACATCCAATTACTACTGGTACAGGTTGAATAATTTATATACTTTAAAAAGCATTTGGTCACCTGCCTTGAGTTTCAAAAGACTTCTCCAAAATTATAATACTGTCATGTTTTATAATTTTACATGACTTTGACCTAATTATTTTTCCCTGACACTGACTTTGAATCAAGTATTTGAAATCTAAACTACCTTTCAAACAATATTTGTATTTGAAACGTTTTACTAAAGTATAATATACTATAGAAGAGTTAACCACCACCCCCACCCATGACTCCCATTCTGAATGAATCACATACCTGCTTTTGGAACTTTAGCTTACTCCGGAGTAGGTGGAGGAGTCTTCGCTTTCACATCAGGACCATCTCCACGTTCACCTCCAGTCTTTTCCAGAACCATTTCCGGGGGACCACCTTCCAGTTCAAGTTCTCCTATAAATAAAAAGCCATTAATATAAACAGTAAACCATACATTAATTAGTGTTATTAAATAAAGCTTGGTAGGACAGTATCCTAACAAGTGTAATTAAGAATAAGAACGTAATGAGCATTGGAGTTTTCTGCTAGAAAACGGGCAAGTTGAGGTTCTCAAATATTACCTCCTCTATGAAGCTTTTATTTTCCTAAGGCAGTATAAGACAACTTAGTTGTCATGTTCATAACCTACATATATTTCTGTTATTGAAATCAGATCAGTAGTTTACAAGAATTTCCTTGACTAGATTGTGAGCTCAAGATAGAAATCATTCTCTCATTTATATTTATATCCCCAGAACCTAGTACACTACCTGGTACTAGTATGTCCCAGTAAATGAGTGGAAAAAAGTCTTTAACAATAGTGACATGAGAAAAACCCAAATTAGGGAACATTTTATAAAACTGGTTTGGACTCTGATTGTCAATGTCATGAAAGATAAAGACTGAGCAACCCTTTCAGGTTTAAGGACACCAGAAATATATGACAATTAAATGCCATGGGTGATCTTGGAATGGATCCTGTGTCAGGAAAAAAAAAATGCTATAAAGGATATTACTAGACCAACTGACAAAACTGCAATAGACTTTAAATTAGATAATGTTTTCTCAATGATAAATTTCCTTAATTTGATAATTAAAAAAATAAAGGAATGTATCACAAATACATTATGGTTCAGGAAGATAAAGTATTGAAGACTTTTAACAGTAAGAAATGATTTCAATTTTTATTTATATTATGAAATTTTCTAAAAATTGCAATGTAAAAGCTAACCATAATACATCTAGGTTTGCTCAAACTTTTGATGCAATGACTTAAGCCCAGAAAACAACATCCCAAGACGACTATGTTCAACTAGTGAAATAGTTTACAATTTTGGCTAAATGTAGTTTCCAATGGTTTGCTAATGTAGAACCTTGGCAAGGACTGTATTTTCCAAGCATGCCAAGTAACTCTTAAGACACAATTTAGATAAAACGCTAAAGAGAAAACTTATCATAGAGAGGGACTACAGTCAGCTGCAAACTACACCAAACAGGTTTCTAGCCAATTTTCAGGAAATGGTTTATTCATTCCTGTTACTAGCATATAATCATACATGAAATACAAAATGTTCCTCCATACCCTCTTCACTGTCAACCACGGGTACTCCTTCTCCTCCCTCTTGTCCAGGTTCAATTTCCTGACTCTCAGTCGGTGGTTCCTCTTCATTTCCACTGGGCTTTCGGACCTTGGGGAGGGTAGATGCAAACAGTAAAGAGTACTGTTATTAATACTATAGCAATAGAAATCACAAATACACATACTATGTGGTGATAACTAATCACAAGTAAGTCTGAAAAAGTTTTTCCTATCCTCTTTTCTGTAGGTACTCTGAAGATTAAAAATTACTCTTCCTATATAGAAAACACACTAAGAAAGGAGTTACCTGCAAGGGCTGATAATTCTGGAAACCATTCTAATCTTCTCTGGGCTGTGTTATTTATTAATAAGCATGTCATAAGAACTACCGCTAGGCTCACAACAACATACATATATAGACAACACCAGAACATAAGTCTCTTTGCTCAGTGTTTTATTCATGGGATTCACTTTTCAACTATTTTCAGCAGGGAAGTCCTTTATACAAAAGATCTGTACTGGTTCAACAACTTTTTCAATTTTTTTCAGAAAAACAAATTTCTGCAAATGGAAATAAGATCAAGTACTCACAGCCACAGTATCAACCAAAGTGGAAGATTCCTGACCATCTCCTCTTCCTCTGGATTTTGAGCGCACACGTCTGCTCATTTTCTAGGCAGCAATTAGAAAATCGTGACCTGAAAACTGCAATAAAAAATAATTATGCTTGACTATTTCCACAGCTGCCTGATTGTAATTCTTTTTTTTTTTTTTACTTTTGGTGATATTTCCAAAATAAGTCCCCAATTAAATAATAACTATTCCTGTTTTCTAATCACATAAAATAAGGCTATTTGCAAATCCCTGTGTTTCTCTCACAACCAACTTCACAGAAAAATGACCTCTAAGTACTAGATAAAAAATGGGAGGCTGGCCAGGCTTGGTGGCTCACACCTGTAATCCTAGCACTGTGGGAGGCCGAGGCGGGAGGATTGCTTGAGCTCAGGAGTTCCAGACCAACCTGAGCAAGAGTGAAACCTCCTCTTACTAAAAATAGAAAAATTAGCCAGGCATCTTGGTGCACGCCTGCAGTCCCAGCTACTCGGGAGGCTGAGGCAAGACCATGGCTTGAGCCCAGGAGTTGGAGGTTACAGTGAGCTATGATGCCGCCACTGCATTCAACCTGGGGCGTCTCTCTATGGGGGGCTTTCCTAAAGAGATTTAATTTCACTAACAAAATTATGAAGAGATTTTGTAATATACAGCCAAGGCTAGCTCTGCCTCCCCTCCTCAGGTCCCCATTGAGGACTCTGAAATCTGTCCTGTCAGCAGTTTCAGGCGCCCCCAGGACTCAAAGATACCTCAAAAAGTATCCCCAAGTTTTCGTCCCACCTTCACCTGATTCCTCCTCTCCACTGCCCCTCTCCTCCCTTGTCCCAGCCCCACCAGGAGAACAAGGCCCACGACGGCGTCACCGCACCACAAGAACAAGGCCCATGGCGGCGTCGCCGCCTGTGAGGAGAAAGACGACGACCCACAGGCCCTTCCTCTTCTAAGGCCCCGGACTGCGCTAACAACCCGCCCGAAGCCCGCTGGCTCATCCTCACACTCAGTCTCACACTTAAACTCCCAGAGGGACTGATCTGAGGACCTACCGGCTGAGTCTGAGTCAGCGGTAAAGAATTGAAACCAGAGAGACGCTACCCGCACCTGCTCAGCCCCGCAGCGTCCACCGCGAGGTGCGCACAGGCTTATGGGAAGGCATACAGTAGGCATGCGCACTGAGACAAGCACTTGCGCACTCGCTGAGGCTCCCCGCCCCTCCCCCACCAGGAACCCACTGAAGCCCCCAGATTTGTTCCTCTGTTGGCGGTTTCATATGCCTCCAGGACTCAAATACCTCAATACTGTACCCCCTTGAAACCCACCCCAACCCCAACTTCAGCTGGCCCCCTCCCCTCTTTGGCCCACCTTCCTCCCCTGTCCCATTTTCACCACAATAACAAAGCCTATGGCGGTGTCGCCGATTGTGAGGAGGACAACAACCTCGAGGCCCTTCCTCCCCCAATTCACCAATTGTGCCACCGGACCTCCACAAAGCCCACATGCTCACTCACTCACACCTGTTCTCACTTACACTTGCTACAAGACAGCAGAGAGCCCGTAAAGAATCAGGAACGGAAGGAACAGAAACAGCACCTACCTACCGTTATGGCCTAAGTACCACCTCTGTGGCATCAATTCCACCAGCCAATCCTAAAGCCCCAAAATGCGCGGGCTCCCGTGCGCTTGCGCAGTGGCATGTGTCACGTGGGCTGTCTTTCCATTCCTCCCGCATCGCATAGAGGCTCCGCCCCATGTGGGTGAGGGTGTGGCCTTCCCAGTGCTGGAAAAGGTTTGTACCCTGCTTTTCTCTCCTCCTCCAAAATTGTATGTCCTTGCATGTTTAGGAATGTTCCCAGACCTGCATTTCACCTAAATTTATCTTCTAAATTTTCTTCTCAGTCCTGCTACCTCAGTGGAATTCTAGAAAGTCTTTAGTCTACCCAAAGATGTATGAAACTTTTACGTTCTGAGAGAGTGTAAAGCTATTTTAAGCACGGTAGGAATCCAGAAAAATGTAAAAAGGATGAGTAAAGCCAAATACATAAATGAGCCTTAAAAATTGCACAAATCCTGTGACCCTGCATTTCTACTTCTAGGACTTTAATGTTAAGGAAACTGTCTTGAATGTTAACAAAGATTCTTTGTTTGGTCAAACTTTACGTCAGGTTCCTGAATCTTCTGTGAGGCCCATCTATGTACTTCCTTGTAAAAGCTAGTTGTAAGAACTCTGCTAAATCAGTTTAGCAAGAAGCCCCCATCCTCGATAGCTTATCATCCTCCAATTCTGATCCCACTCAATATCTGATCAGGTTCCTCATCCTCCACCACCACACAGGTGATATTTGATCCCTCTGTCTTCAGCAAGAATCCTGTTAGGTCAGTTTATCCAGAATCTCCCTTACCCCTGACGTTTCCTCTGAGTGATTTTCCATCCACTGACCCCCACCCTGCTCCCACTGGCCCATGCTGTATTCAGAGTTGAGACCAATCTCTCTCCCCCACTGTAAGGCCCCTTACAGTGGTCCCTATACTTATCACCATGGTCCTGAATAAAGTCTGCCTTAGTGTACTTTAACAAGTACCATTGAACAGTTTTTTTTTCTTTAACAATGTGAACAAAGATTTAGATACATGGGACTTCCAAAGTAGCTTAATTTATAATAGCATGGTCATTGACTTGTTCTATAAGTAAATTATGGCACACTTGAAAATGAAATATAGCTGGCCATCAAACACCAGTGCTGAATAATGTTTCCTGTCATGGTGGTGCTCCTCACTTTAAGTTATTAACTTGAAACAGACAGTTATGCAGCATTTGTGTGGAACATGATCCCAAAAGAAGAGGGAGACTTTGGAAAAGGTCACCAAGGCTACCAGACTTCCAACCTTCCTCTCAGACAGTAAGTGTGCTTTGTTCTCACAGCCATCGTTTTCTAGGGCTCCAAAGACACATAGTTCTCCAAGGGCAACCCAGCAGATAAAATACATTCCTTGGCATTGTAGGTCTCCTGAGCCTAGTGCACCTCAAAGAGCTTCACCATCACCTAGGTGGTCTGGTGCTCTGTGATCAGAGAAGGTGTGGAATGGGGGAAGGTGGGGGGAAGGCAGAAGCCCACTATTCCTACTTTAGGCAAACAAAGATAGGTGGTTTCCTATAGGGCAGAATGGAGCTTGCCCTTCCCATTCCTGTCCTCCCACCTAACCCCCCCACCAAGCACAAACCTTTCTGTCCTTGCATGTCTAGAATCATTCCCAGACTCAGCAGGTTACCCTTAGAGAAACACACATTCTTTGAGAGTTAGAAAGATCCCCTGTGGCAAAAGTAGAATTGCCAAATGATCTGTTTCTCACTGCTTCTCCCCCTCCCCTTCCCCTCCCCCTCTCCTTCTCCCTCTCCCTCTCTCCTGAAGATGAGTCAATCAATATAGAGCCAAGTATAAAGAATATATAATTCTTCCTTGATCTCACCAATCAGGGATAACCACTTTTAATATCTAAGCAGGAGTTGCTCCTACAACTCAGATCTTTATGTGGATGAAATAATGATCTATTGACAGACTGAGTTCTCACACTCTGAAATCAGTATAAAGTGTGGGCTCTAGTCCCAGCCTCTTGTTTCTCCTCAAATAAAACACTTTCATTGGCTCTTAGTACTTTCCTATTATCTCTAGGAAAGGCTATCTGTCTCCCTGACTTTGGTGTTTGTTGGCTAATGCTATGTTCTCTGCATAGGATTGAGTTTCTCCAGGACACTGTGAAGGAGTTAGAAGGGAGGTGAGGTCCTTTCTGTATGAGAGCTTGGATTCTGAACTGAAAAAGAAACCCTGATTTGCCCAGCACCATAAGCCTTTCCTGGGAACCTCATCCTCAGGCAACATTAGAGCAGAGCAGGCACTCTGACTAAGGATGGATAGCTACTCCCAAGCCCTTGTTTGGATCATTGTGATGATTATAGATATCACTTTCATTTTGTTTTATGACACAAGTAACATCTGCTCCTTAAAATAATCCAATCAGTAATAATTGACCAGTTTCATTGTCTTATCATTATTATTTAAATCCTAGCACAAAGTTACCTAATTCTTGGTAGACTTAACACCTGAAAGTAAGAGTATTGTTTCTAGGACCACTGAGGAGAGCCCCAAGGCATCCCTCTTGTCACTCCTCCTCCTATCCTCCCTCACCAAAGCAGAGGAAAAAGATACCCTTTGTTTACCCATTTGCCATGGTCAGAGGTGATAATCAAGAATGGGGACAGATAACTATGCCCCGTCTGGAGTGAAGCAGGTGTCAGGGTCCCACCCTGAGCCAAGGCTACATGTGAGCTCTGTTCAGACTATCCAGAATCCTGCTGGGGGAAATGTGGAAAACACTGCCTGGGCCATCTGTGAGTGGTGATGTGCAGACATGAGGCCATACTGTGAGGTGGGGGGCAGGGGCAGATGGCCCAGGCCCCTTTTCAATACCTGAGGGAGGGAAGGATTTGGGTTCAGGTGCTCATTGCAGGTATATGCTCCAGAGGGAGGTGGTGGTGGTGGTGGTGGTGGTGGTGGGAGTGCTTCCCAGTCTGGCCCTCTCCAGGCCTGGAGTACTGCCCCTGTGGGCCTGTGGATGGGCCAGAAACTGCCTTTGCTAGTTTCTTTATATCGTGCTGCCTCATGGATCCACTCGTTCCCCTGAATCCCTCAGCTCAAGGAGAAGCTTAGCAATCGCATGAGTACCATCTATGAAAAGTGGTGTGGCATAAGTGCCCACATGTGCAGGATGCGGGATTGACAGGAGGAACATCATGCACTAACTCTTGGAAGCGTGCTTGCAAACTGCAGAGGCCACTGGGACTGGGGCTGGAGCATGTGGGTCAGAGGGGGATATTTTCTTTGTTGTCCCTTGAACACGATAAGTACATGAATAGATTGTGGATATAAATATTCTGTGAGCCTTTTTCGCAACAGGTTTGCCGCCAGAACACAGGTGCCATGAAAACCACCCATAAAAGCCAAAATGGGGAAGGAAAAAACCCACATCAACATTGTCGTCATCGGACATGTAGATTCAGGCAAGTCCACCACTACTGGCCATCTGATCTACAAATGTGGTGGGATCGACAAAAGAACCATCGAAAAATTTGAGAAGGAGGCTGCTGAAATGGGAAAGGGCTCCTTCAAGTATGCCTGGGTCTTGGATAAACTGAAAGCTGAGCGTGAGCGTGGTATCAACATTGATATCTCCCTGTGGAAATTTGAGACCAGCAAATATTATGTGACTATTATTGATGCCCCAGGACACAGAGACTTTATCAAAAACATGATTACAGGCACATCTCAGGCTGACTGTGCTGTCCTGATTGTTGCTGCTGGTGTTGGTGAATTTGAAGCTGGTATCTCAAAGAATGGGCAGACTCGTTGAGCATGCCCTTCTGGCTTACACACTAGGTGTGAAACAACTAATTGTTGGTGTTAACAAAATGGATTCCACTGAGCCGCCCTACAGCCAGAAGAGATACGAGGAAATTGTTAAAGAAGTCAGCACTTACATTAAGAAAATTGGCTACAACCCTGACACAGTAGCATTTGTGCCAATTTCTGGCTGGGATAGTGACAACATGTTGGAGCCAAGTGCTAACATGCCTTGGTTCAAGGGATGGAAAGTCACCCATAAAGATGGCAACACCAGTGGAACCACACTGCTTGAAGCTCTGGATTGCATCCTGCCACCAACTCGTCCAACTGACAAGCCTTTGCGTCTGCCTCTCCAGGATGCCTACAAAATTGGTGATATTGGCACTGTCCCTGTGGGCCGAGTGGAGACTGGTGTTCTCAAACCCGGCATGGTGGTCACCTTTGCTCCAGTCAATGTTACAACTGAAGTAAAGTCCGTTGAAATGCACCATGAAGCTTTGAGCGAAGCTCTTCCAGGGGACAATGTGGGTTTCAACGTCAAGAAGGTGTCTGTCAAAGATGTTCGTCGTGGCAACGTTGCTGGTGACAGCAAAAATGACCCACCAATGGAAGCAGCAGGCTTCACTGCTCAGGTGATTATCCTGAACCATCCAGGCCAAATTAGTGCTGGCTATGCTCCTGTACTGGATTGTCATACTGCTCACATTGCCTGCAAGTTTGCTGAGCTGAAGGAAAAGATTGATTGCCGCTCTGGAAA